CGGGGCTAACTAAGGAGGAGTTGCGAGGCCACGGGAGTAACCCGAAATAAGAGGGAAACCCGAGCATACCTACTGCGAAAGAGGCGTATCACTGTGTTCAGAGAGTGGAGAAAGCTTAGCTAGGAGGAAAGTTTTTGACTCGGTGGAGCAACACAGTTTTGTCCCTGACACAGCATCCCCGCCGGCCCGCATTCTGATTGTCTCAATGATAACAGCTGTAAATCCTGTTACCTTTCTACCATGAGCATTTTCTAAGATGGCTGGCGAGAGCAGGGGTACATTCTAAGGCCACGCAACAGTTCCACCCAGCACAATTTCAGGGTCCGCCCGACCTCTCACCCTATCAGTCAGTAACTCGGTAATTTGTTGACCAAACAAAGCTAAGACCTACTTCCCCCATTTACCAACTCTCAGTTTAGACGCAGTATTGGCAAAAATCTGTTTCCTTCCCAGTGTGGTCCACGAGACCAAGTTTTACATGTGATTATTGGCAAGAAAAAAACCTCGAAATTTGGTTAAATTACCAACAATAAACCTTGTAAAGTCTCTCTTGGGACTTTTCACTTAATCTAGGGGGCATTTTTAGACACTGCACTGGTAAATACCTGTCATTCCAGCACTCTGGAGGCCGAGGCTGGAGTAGAGCTAGTTTGAGGCCAGGCTGGGCTGCACAGACTGAAAAATAAGAAAAAAGTTAATCTTCAGGTTTTCTCAGCAGGAGAGACAAACTCAAAACTACAGTGGCCAGCATATTATTTCTGCATCGTAACTACAAAAACAGTAAACAGCTTGTATGGAAAAAGTTCACATGCCAGATACTACCCCAGAAACCTACCTTTGAAAAGTCAGTGAAGGAAAATGCCTCAAAACAAATTTCCCTGATATTATTGTTTTTTTAAGAGGTCTAGAAATTACTGTGGGGAAAAGCACAAATGTGGAATAGTCAGGGCACGATAAACAATGTTTATTTACGCTGGGTCTCAAAATGGGAGTTGGCAAGAGGAGAGAGAGAGAGAAATATTTCTCAGCTGTGAAAGGTTTTTGTCTATCTAGTGTAAATTGCAATCAGACTAGAAGGTAGGATGTCAGGTTGAAATATGGAAAATGAAGCTTGAAAGTACCCAGGACCATAGTGAGGTTCTACTTGTTTGTAATCTCAGCATTTTGGAAGAAGACGCAAAAGGCTTTGAGTAGCCTAGGCAAGACCCTATGCAAAAAAAAAAGTCTGGTACACCAAACATTTGGTCTACCATCTAAGAAATGGTAGACAGCAAGGCTAAGCAAGTTAGGCTTTCATATGTAGAGAACGGACAGGCTTGTGGTTGGAGTAAAAGCAGCTTTGAATGGTAAGAACACTGAAGATAAATCACCTTTCTAACAATAAGGCCACACTCCTTTGTGTCCGGAAAAGCCCTTAACATGCAAATTCTCCAGGAAAGTTGCCATCTTAAACTGACTATGAGAGATCACATTTGTATTCCCAGCACTAGAGAGGCTGAGACAGGAGGATTGCCTTGAGTTCAAGCCCAGACTGCATTAAAGAGACCCTATCTCAATAAAAGACCAGCTGGTCTGCCCCTTTGTGCTAGTAGTTGTCAGCGGAAAAGCTCTAATGGAATTTAGGCCCCGGGGCCATGAGAGAAGAAAAACAGCTGGCCTGCGAAGGGACTGGGGCAAAGGATTTGCCGTTCCTATATCCTACAGTGCTTGCTAATTGCCACTCTTTCCCCAGCAACCAGTAACAGGACCTCAGGGAGGAGAGGAATCTCCAGAATCTCCAGAGCCCCACCCAGCAACTGTGGACACAGGCTGTCTCTCAGGCCAGATATGAACATATTTGGTAGCTCAGGTAAACTGTATTTCAGTTCTCCTGCCTCAGGCTCCCAAGCAGCTTACATGTTGAAAAACATACTTGTGGAAAGTCTCCAAGAAATGTCTCTGAGTTTTATGGAAAAAAAAATAACTTTTTCCTTAAATAACTAATAATTACCTTTCTTTTGGCATCTTATAATCTAATGTTGTGCCAGGTCAACCCTCACATATTTAGCATATCTTAATAAGGATATGGAATTTTAATAATTTTTTTTCTTAAGTGTACATTTTGTTACACAAATCAACTTAAATAGTACCGTGTCATGAGAGGACTGGGTTTTAATCTTAGACCCTCAGACCAATTTTTTTGTTGTTGTTTTGAGATAGCGTTTCTCTGTATAGCCCTGGCTGTCCTGGAATTTGCTCTGTATACCAGGCTGGCCTTGAACTCGCAGAGATCCGCCTGCCTCTGACTTCCGAGTGCTGGGTTTAAAGGCATGCCTGCCCCCACTTTTTTTTGGCTCAGACCAATTTTAAAAAGAGAAAAAAAAATATGTTATATGAAAGGTCTTTTATATCAAAACTCAACTAGCTGGGGCTAGCTAAAGTATTTTATAGACACTCAAACATTTGCCAAACAGAATTAAAACACACTTTCAACATTAAAGTACGTTTTCTTTCTTTTTAAAAAAAAAATGATCCAGTGTATTTTTTTATTGTTTTTTTTTTTAAGCTGAGGATTGAACCTAGGGCCTAGCGCTCTACCACTGAACTAAATCCCCAACCCCCCCACTGTATTTTTTTAAGATTTATTTTATGTGCATGTGTTTTGCCTGCATGTCTGTCTGTCTGTGTGAGGGTGTCAGACCCCCCTGGAAATGGAGTTACAGACAGTTGTGAGCTGCCATGGGGGTGCTGGGAATTGAACCCCTCTGGAAGACCAGCCAGTGCCCTTAACCACTGAGCCATCTCTCCAGCCCCTAAAGTTTATTTTTCTTATGGTACATGCCTCTAATCAAAGCACTTGGGAGGCAGAGGTAGGTGGATCTCTGTGTGTTCAAGGACAGCCTGGTCTACACAGCAAGGTCTAGGCTAGCCAGGCATTAATATGAAATACTACATTTTGCTTTGGGTTATGGGGAGACCAGGGAGATGTGCTTTGCCATGGACATCAGATCATGTGGACCTCCTCAGCCCCTCTCCACTCTCAGGACTCTGAATAAAATGCTTTGATACCCCCAAATGCTTTTAATAAATATTTATCAGTATGTACGTGCACCTGAGTGTGTGCATGTGTACCACATGTGTGCAAGAGCCTGCTGATATCAGAAAATCCCCTGTGACTGCAGTTACCGATGGTTGTGAGCCTCCACGTAGGTGCTAGGGATCAAACTTAGGTGTTCTTAACTCACTAAGCCATCTCTCCAGCCCCCCAAAATACATTTTAAGGTTGAATTCACTAAACTCACAATAATCAAGATGTGTACATTGGAAAAACATAACAAATATGGCCACTATCAGACGAAATCAGATTGGGTACTTAAAAATGTGTTCCACATATAGAAGAATCTTTTATGTTGTAAGTTCAACTCATTACCTCAGAAACATTCGTTATACTGTATAGTGTGCACTTATTCCAGTTATTTCTGTAATATGTACACACACACACACACACACAATTTTGTTGATTTTTGTTTGGTTGATTTGTTTTTGTGAGATGAGATGGTTTCACATTGTAACCTAGACTAGTAGTCTTGAATTCAGCCATTTGCCAATCTCAGCCTCCTCGAGGCTGGGATTATAGATGTGAACCACCTCACCTGGCTGTTTCCCTTTTTTGATCATAGAGATTCCCCAGGGTACTTGGTTTTAGGCCCTCTCAGATAAATCATACTTGCTATCAGACAGACACTTGTGGAAGTTGTATTTATTATACACTGTGTGGGATTTTCCTTCAAAATAAAAGATTGCTTGTTCAGGAGATGTTGAATGTCCCTAAAGCAAGCATTATGAATATGTGAGACACAGGAAACTGTTTAGGGCTATGATGATTTGCATAGATGTCTTATCCTATACTCCCACAGTTTCAGAGTTAAGAATTCAAGAGTCACGCTGGATGCTAGTAATTATAACTAAGGTCTCATGCCAAATGTTTGTGTGCTGTACCACTGAGTTACCCAGCCTGAAAGATACCTCATTATCCTGCAAAGTTCAAGGGCTTGCATGGCAACTGTATGAAGCTCTGTGGGATAGAAGAGTAAGCATCATAAAATTGATGTTTTGTGGTTATAAACATTAAAATATAAATTTCTACCCCCAAAAAGATCTATGTGTCAGGAGGATCGTGTGATTGAGGCCAGTCTAGGCTATACAGGCCTCTGTCTCAAAAGACACAGGTGTAGAGGTGAACACTTAGAGTTCCAGCATTTGGAAACCAGAGGCAGAAGAATGAGGACTCCAAAGCCAAACTCAGCAATATAGCAAACTCCAAGTCATCTTGGGCTATGTGATACCCTGTCCTAAAACAAGAACCATCAAAATAAAAAGGACAGACAATTAAGGACCATAATCCACTATTTAGGTAAAGCCCTTTAGAAGATAAATGTAATGCAAATAAACAATAAAACCAATACTGAGTACTTAAACATTTGAACCTTTAGCCTCTCAACTCAGAGACTTCATCAACTGTGGCCGGTTGGAAAGGCAGATTTATAAACTAAAAGAACCAGGCCATTCTCCCTGAGGAGTTGATGATGGTGGAGCGCTAGACCAGCCACAGATTAATTCTCCCTATGGTGATGCCAAGCATTCACTTAGTATGGAGTTGCTGGGTCCCACTTATACTTCTCCTCACTTCATCAGTGAGTCTCACAATTCCCCACCCCCTGCTTTAATGTTTGCTATTATAATGGGTTCATGGTTTTTGTCTCACAAGCAAGGCCAGTTTAAATTTAAATCAGCTATTCCCCCCGACTTCACAATAGAATCACCTAGGGAGGTTTGGGTGGGGGTGGGGGCGGTTTCTATTGTTTTTTAAATCTTGGGCTGGTAGAGCACTTGCCTGGCAAGTCTGAAACCCTAGGTTTCATTCCCAGTAGCACAAAAAAAAATATTCTGTCATGATGGACTCTGAACCAGAACAAACCCTCCTTCCTTCCTTAAGCTGCTTTTGTCGGTTTTTGGTGTGTGTGTGTGTGTGTGTGTGTGTGTGTGTGTGTGTGTGTGTAAGAGAGTGAGTGTGAGTGTGTGTACGTGTTGTCACAGCAATGAAAACAATAACTAATATGAAGATCAAGCTTGCGTGTAGTTCAAGCCCCTATGAAGAAGGAACATAGCAAGAAATATACATATCAGCCAAGAGTGGTATTTTGTTCAGGGAATCAGTTCATTCCCTGGCTAGACCTTCAACCAGTGGGAGGGGGAAATATGCTCCTCCTCCTCCTCCTCCTCCTCCTCCTCCCCTTCCTGGCAAAATCTAGGTAAATGCTGAACAAACAAACCTTGCCTGAGAACCTAATAGAATCTGGTCACAGAGTACACAAAAACAACCCTTGCTCTCAAACGGTCTTCTGCTAGTCTAGTGGGAGAGGGAGCCAATTACTACCAGGCAGAGTCATGAAAGGTGCTGACTATGCCTGAGACAGTAATGGAGACTGGTGGGATGAAGTGGAGAAAAGAGTCAAAAATGAGCATCAGCATCCAAGGAAGAAATTCAACTGAAAGCATTGGACCTGGACAGGTAGGAATGAAAGGGAGCCGAGAGCATCATGGAAGAATATAGGGGACACATTTAAATCCTTGAGGAGAGAGAACATAGCATGAACAAAATATCAAGACATAGTTATAGGGCACAACTTTCCATCCTAACTAGATTCTGGAGTACTAAAGACGGGAAGCAAGGCAACATCTTTATCGCCAGTCTGCTAGCAATTCCTAGACCATTTAGCACTAATGCTTAGTCATAAACCCTACTTTCTGTTGAAGCTGTGGCCTTACATGAGTTGCAGTGGTTTAGGACTCAAGCTGAGAACCTCAAAGGAGGGAGAGGATAAAACATGCAAAATAGGAGCAAGGGTGGACCTGATAAAACCAGAATACTGTGCTATTAATGTATTCAGGTAAACAAAACCATCCTTTGGAAAACTATGACCAGTGGGCCAACTCCAGCTTTTTGCTGTCTGTAAATAAAGTTTTTTTTTTTTTGCTTCGTGGCCATACTCATTCCTTTGCATATTCTCTGTGGCTGCATTTGTGCTAAAACAGAGTTCAGAGTTGTACTTTATTGTTTTTGAGACAGGGTTTCTCTGTGTAGCCCTGGCTGCCCTGGAACTCACTCTATGGATCAGGATGGCCTCTAACTCACAGATCTGAAAAAGAGAAGGTGATTTAAAGCATGCTAAGGATTTTTTTTGTGTGTTAGGGATGAACCATTTTAAGGGTTCTATATTTCCATAATATACTACTAACACATCAGTGTGACACATACTTGTAAACACAGTATTTGAGAAGCAGAGGCAGAAGGATATCGTGTGAGGACAGCCTGACATATAGAGTAAGCTCCTGTCTCAAAACAATCAAACAAATGTTATATTTAATGTGGAGAAGATCAGAGCTTATTTAAGCACACTGTATTTTCAACAGTTTACAACAACCAAAACACTCTATAATGGATATTCCACAGGATATATTTGAAGTCGAATTTGGTCAAGTGAAAGGTATATTTGAATTTGTGAGAGATTATCATATAACCCCTCAGAAATATGTTGGTAAATGATTCCATCTTCTGATGACTGCTGATTGGCCCACACAATAGCCAATGCAAAATTTTAGAAAACTTTAAAGTTACAAAATGTCACATGAGTTAATTCTCAGTATAATAACAAAGGCAGAAGTGTCCTCTAGACTGTCCTCCCCTGATCCCAAGTCCCTCTGGGGAAATACATCCCCACCTTGTTCTCTTGCCATTTTAATCATGCACTCACTGCTTAGACACCTGGTAACAGTCATGTGGCTGTAACTAGGTTTTACTAGTTCACTCACTGTTATCTTCTGAGTTGGACTCATTGTCTCTTCTTTCTCTAGATCTAGTTGAACGTGATGACATCTTCTCCTTGGGAGCTGTGAGAAAACAGAACTCACTTGTAAGGCAGTTTTAAGAACATCCTCAAATTTGCATAGACTAATCATACTCTCCCCTTTATTGCCTTCCATTACTTGGACTTTTCTTAAGTGCTGGGGATGAACCCCAAGGCCTCCTACATTACTTTTCATATATTTAATTTTTCTCTTGCATTTAAAGCTAATTTGAAGAGTAAAACGTGTTTTATTTTTAATATCTGATATTGGATTTCCAACTCTAGCATGCTGTTTTATTTGGTTGGTTTTTGTTTGTTTGTTTGGGGTTTTTTTTTTTGTTTTTGGAGACAGGGTTTCTTCTCTGTGTAGTTTTGGTGCCTGTTCTGGATCTTGCTCTGCAGTAGACATAGGCTGGCCTCAAACTCATAGAGATCCGCCTGCCTCTGCCTCCTGAGTGCTGGGATTAAAGGGTGCGCCACTGCTGTCGACCGCATGCTATTTTAAATTACAGTGCCTAGCCAGCTGTGGTATAGCACACCTTTAATCCCAGCACCCAAGAGGCAGAAGCAGGCAGATCTCTGAGTTCGAGGTTTACAGAGGGAGTCAGGGTTATTATGCAGAGAATCCCTGTATCATCATCATCATCATCATCTTCATCATCATCACCATCATCAGAGCACCTACTGACTGGAATGACAAAAATAAATAACTTAAAAATAAAATGATAGTCCTCAAATGATTCACCTGTAATCAGTAGGATCTTCATACCTGACGTTATGTTTCCTTGGGAGGGTGTGAGGAACAGGCTAGGAAGATGCAGTGAGAGGGCAAAGGAGACTAAATGAGAGTGGAGTGAGGAGTAGGAAGAACATAGGACCACTGGGGAGGCAGGGGAGGGGGAGGGGGAGGGTAGAAAGAAGAGGGGAGTAAGGAAGGGGAAGAGGATGAGAGGAGGAGGGAAGACTGAGGAGGGAAGGCTGGGAGGAGGGAAGGAGGGAGGTGGGTGAGGGAGGATGCTGAGAGAGGAAGTGGGGGATGAATGGGAGAGGAGTGAAGGAGGAAGGAGGGAAAGGAGAAGATGGAGGAGAGGGAGGCACAATGGGATAGGGAGGAGGAGGAGGAAGAGAGCAGGAGTTCGGATTGGGTGGTGAAAGGAGAAGTCGAGGGGAAGGGGGAGGATGGGAGAAGGGGGAGGGAGGAGGGGAGGACAATAAGTGAGGAGGGGAATTGAGGAAGTTGAGGGAGGAGGGAGACACAGAGGATAGGGAATGGGGATGGAGGAGGGTGATTAGTGAAGGAGGGTGAGGGAGGAAGATGAAGGAGAAGGAAAGGGAGGAGGGGAATTGAGGGAGAAGGAAAAGGAGGAGGGTTTGAGAGAGGAGGGAAGGGAAGAGGAGATTGATGGAGGAGGGTGAGGGAGGAAGAGGCTTGATGGAGGGGGGAGGGAAGAAGGGGATCGTGGAGGGTAAGGGAGGAAGGAGATTGAAGAGGAGGGTGTGGGAGAAGGGAGCTTGAGGATGGAGGAAAGGGAGGAGGGGATTGATGGAGGAGTGTGAGGAAGGAAGAAGATGGCGAGGAGGGCTAGGGAGGAGAATGATTAAGGGAGGGAGGAGGTGGGTTGGTGGAGGACAGGTTGGGGAGGAAAGGGATTGAGGAAGGAGGGTAGGGAGAAAGGATGATGGTTAGGGAGGTGAAGATGAGGGAGGGGCAGGGAGGAGGGGTATGGGAATGAGAGTGAGGGAGGTGGAGGGTTGAGGGGGGTAGAGAGGGGGGAGATGGTGAGGAGGACTGGAGGAGGGGATGGGGAGTAGTATGGGAAAGGGGAAGGAGAGGAAGGAGGGAGGGGAATGATAAGGAAGAGGGAGATAAGGTAATGGGCAGGGAGAAGGAGGGGCCGGAGCATGGAGGAGAGTGACTAGGTAAGAAGCAGAAATGGGAGGGGAGGAGAATGTGAAGAAAGAAGGGGAGGAGTCGGTCAGAAGGGGGTATAGTGTGAGGTAAAGGGGGCAAGGAAAGGAGGAAGGAGCCGGCGGTGGTGGCACACACCTTTAATCCCAGCACTCGGGAGGCAGAGGCAGGGGGATCTCTGTGAGTTTGAGGCCAGTCTGGTCTACAGAGCGATATCCAGGGCAGTACCAAAACGACGCGGAGAAACACTGTCTCGAAAAACAGAGAGAAGGGGGGGGGGTGAAGGAAAGGAAGGAAGAAAAAAAGAAAGGAGGGAAACGGTTGGGTAGGGGCACTAGGGATGGTGGGAGACGGGAGGGAGGGGGAGGAGGCTGTGGAAGCGGAGTGGGGGTGGGGTGAGGAGGAGTTCAGGGGAGGTCCAGTGTGTTCTTCCTTACCGTTCTGAAGCAGGGTCGCTCATCGACACGGAGCTCACTGATTAGACTACTAGCTGGCCTAGGGATCCTCCTGTCTCCACCTCCCCAACGGAAGAGTTTGGGGAAGGGGACAATCCAAACTCAGGCCCTCCCATTTGGGTTTACCGACTGTGCTCTCTCCCCAGTCCCCCAAGCTTCTTCTGACCTGCCCTTCGGTCCTCCTGTCCTCAGTACCAAGATACTGCTGTAACCTGGGGTCTCTCTGTGCCAGAGCCTTGGCTACGGACTTTCGCTCTCACTTAACTGACTCTAAGGAGTTTCGCCCTAACTTCCTCACACCACCAATAAGGCTATGACATACACCTTTTAAACATTTGATAATCACAGTACAACAGTGAGAGTAAAACGTTACCCCAAAGTCAGGCTCCACTTAGAGGTCCTAAATCTGGCCCACCTTCTACATTTCTAAAGGAAACATTTTTCACTCTTTAAGAAAGCTTGTTTAACTTACAGTCACTGGAGGATGTACAAAAATTGTTTTGTTCTATCATTCATGTGATGGCGCTCTCAGACCTTGAGGACCAGGGACCTTCGCAAAGACATCCGTCATCGACTGTAACCACGAAGGCACTGAGAACACTAGACTATTTCAAACCGCACCCACCCACACTGAATAGATAATGACTCTCTGATAACTGACAGCAGATCTGACCAATCCATACAGGGACACATTTCTGAACAACAAAGGGCTCGGATGATGTCATAGCCAATCAAAACGGAGCTTTGCCGGCAAGCTTCAGGTAATGACAGCCTTCACCCTGAAGCTGATTCAAGAGGTTGTTGAGTTCGAGGCCAGCCTAGACTACATCAGGTACATACAGCCCTTGTCTCAAAAACCAGACCAAAGCCAGGCGGCAGTGGCGCACGCCTTTAATTCTAGCACTCTGGAGGCAGAGGCAGGCGGATCTCTTGAGTTCAAGGCCTGCAGGGTCTACAGAGTGAGTTCCAGGACAGCCAAGGATTTTTATTTTGTTTGTTTGTTTGTTTGTTTGTTTATTTATTTATTTATTTATTTTGACACAGGGTTTCTCTGTGTAGCCCTGGCTGTCCAGGAACTAGTTCTGTAGACCAGGCCAGCCTTGAGCTCACAGAGATCCGCCTGCCTCTGCCTCTCCCAGTGCTGGGATTGAAGGTATGTGCCACCAAGAGACTTTTTTGGTAGACACAACAGGGTTTCTAGCAGCCTTACTTTACAGGTTGGCAGCGGAAGAAAAAAGCCGGTGTGATGGTGCATGTCAGAATGTGGGAAGCAGACACAGGAGGATCTGCAGTTCAAGGTCAGCCTTGGCTACACAGCTGGGCTACAGAACACCCTGTCTGGATACAAAGAAAAGAAATTCAAATCCAAGAGAAAAGGACTTCTCTGTTCTGATTTAGAAAAACGCAAAGTTGTATCTCTAGTCTGGGTCTCATCTCTATGCCCTTGAAGTTGCTACAGGGCTTAGAAGCATTTAATACCATGGGGTAGCCGCTTTGCTGTGAGGTGTAGGGTGAGGAAATTGCCTGTCTGAGCAGATTTTCAAAGGAAGCTTGAAAGCAGAAATGTTAGGCAAATCTAAACAATAGACACCCACTCTGAAGTCCAGCCTTAATAGGAGGGGAGGTGCCTAATCTTACTGCAACTTGATATGCCATGCTTGGTCGATATCCATGGGAGGAGGCCTGCCCTTTTCTGTAGAGAAACTGAGGAGTGGATGGGGGAAGGGAGCAGAAAGGAGGAGGTGAGAGGGACTCAGAGGAGAGGATGGAGGGGAAACTGCGTCGGGATGTGAAAAAAAATAAATTTAAATTGCACTTCTTAGATTTTGAATCCATATAATCATATCACTGCAAATAAATATATTTTCTTCATTCTTTTATTCATTATTACTGTTGTTGTTTATTTATTTTAAGGCAGGACAGCTCTGGCTGTCCTGGAACTCGATTTGTAAACTAGGCTGGCCTCAAACTCCCAGAGATTCACCTGCCTCTGTCTCCTGAGTGTTGGCATTAAAGGTGTGTGCCACCGAGCCTGGCTTCTTCATTCCTTTAGATGCGTATAGTTTATTTCATTTTCTTTTCTTTTTTTTTAAATTTATTTATTTTTATTTTATGTGCATCAGTGTTTTGTCATGGGTGTCAGGTCCCCTGGAACTGGAGTTACAGACAGTTGTGAGCTGCCATATGGATGCTGGGAAGTGAACCCAGGTTCTCTAGAAGAGCAGTCAGTGCTCTTAACTGCTGAGCACTTCTCCAGCTCCTCATTTTCTTTTCTTAATGCATTTCAGGGTCTTCAAGACACATATCTATCTGGGTCACTCTTCTTCCTGAGTTTTAGGGGAAACAGCTTTCTCTCCCCCGACCCTGCCTTTTCCTGAGAGGGTTTTGCTGTGGAGCTTAGGCTATCCTTGACCTTGTGATATTCATGCCTCAACCTCCCGACTGGAATTATAGGCATGCCTCACCACTCCTAATTAGGGGAAACAATTTGCCTATAATTCTTGCTGATGCCTTTCCTGCTACACCACTCATCCCTTCCACCTCACGCTGTTGACTTTTTTGATACTCTTTAGTTTGACACGCTTGATGTTTAAGAAATTCCTTTCTGTTCTCATTGGACTCAGAGCATTGTTTGTTTTACTTCAGATTTAAACTGGAGTTATGCCTCGATATTGGAACAATTGCTTGGTGTGCACAAGGCTATGGACTGATCCCTACCCCCCACAATGCAAAATGTAACAGAATAGTGAACTACAAAAACTACAACCAAAACCTTAAGGGAAAAGTTCCCTAGAGTGTCTCATGCTTGTTATTTTAGTACTTGGGGGGCTAGTACTTGGTTGATTGCCATGATTTTGCTGTCAGGCCAGGCTACATAGTGCAACCCTATCTCAGAAAACAAATGAATCAACATAAATAAATAGAAAATGGAAAAACTGAAACTAGACTCTACCTTCCTTGAAACCAGGAAACAACTCTTACATCACAGAAAACACTATTTATAAAGTGAGGTGACTTAATGAGATTAGCTAGCACCAGTGAAGGCTTCATTCTATGCCATAGACTACCCTGAGTGCTCTATGGATGTTGCCCAGCAAAAGAAGTTTATTACTTGTAGAAACTGAGCCAGAGACATTTGAGTGCTCATTATATTGCTGGTTTTGTTTGTAAACAATTAATTGAACAGTACACTTATAATTTGTTCATTTCTACATGTTATTTATCAAAAGTTTTTTAAGTAGATTGAAAAACAGGTAAGTGAAAATTGAAGAAGAGCTCATAAGGTTCCATCTTTCTCTGAGTAGCCATTGGCAGTTAATAGTTTCTGGGAGAGAGATTTTTCAGTGGTGTAGCCATTTGTAAGCTGCTCATGCTCCTATGAATAATCCATCACCCATGCCCTTGTAAACAAGCCTAATTAAACTCATTAGGTCTGGATCATAGAAAAAGGTATGAGGCCTGGCATGGTGGCACACACCTTTTTTTTTTTTCCTGGTTTTTCAAGACAGAATTTCTCTGTCTTGCTTTATCTCCCACAATGCTGGGATTAAAAGCATGTACCATCAACATCCAGCTGTGGCATGCACCTTTAATCCCACCATTTGGGAGGCAGAGGCAGGCAGATGTCTCTGAATTTGAGGCCAGTCTGGTCTACATTGTGAGTTCCAGGACAGCCAGAGCTACACAGAGAAACCCAAAACCAAACCAAACAAACAAGCAAAAAAGACATGAAGGTTGAAGAGGGAATGGCTGGTTGGAAAGAGGAAGGGGATCAGTCGGAATTGGGAAAGAAGAGAAGAAAGTGAGTACACACAAAGCACATTATATATTCATGTATGAAAATACCATAGTGGAATCTATTAATATTTTTCATCAGTTACTTTTCATTCTTGTGCTAAAACACCAGGAATAAAAGTGCCTTATGAAAAAAGATTTTGCAGAAGGAGAGTCCATCATGACTATGAAAGCAGGGCAGCAGGTGGCTTGAGTGAGAAGCTGGATGGTCATACTTTCAAGTGCAAACACAAAGCAGAGAAAAGGAACTGGAAGTGGGGTGAGACTATAAACTCTCAAAGTCCATCCCCAGTGACATATTTCCTCCAGGAAGGCTGTATCTCAAGAAGGCTTCACAACTCCTCCAAACAGCACCCTCAACAGGGAACCAAGTGCTCAAATAAAAACTTGAGCCTGTGGGGGACATTTCTCATTCAAACCACCAGAGATACAATTGATTCATGCTGATTCAAATCAGAGAAAACTAAATATGGTGAGGACAGAAGTGGAGACCAATAGGGGTAATAGTGAATGCTGCACTGAAAAGAGGTCCAAACCTGCCCTGGCATCACATTCCTCTAACCCCAGCAATGTAGGAGACTGAGGTAGGAGGAATACATAGTGAGATGCTGTCAGAAAAGAAGGAAGGAAGGAAGGAAGGAAGGAAGGAAGGAAGGAAGGAAGGAAGGAAGGAAGGAAGGAAGGAAAAAGAGGGAAAAGATAACTGTCTGGAATTTCCAGAATATAAACACCCAGGCTTATGATGTCCCAGGTATAAAAATGAAACTATCCTTCTTTGGGCTGAGGATATGGCTCAATTGTCTAGCAGGCACAATGTCCTGGGTTTGATCCCATTGCAACATAAACTTGCCCATGTGGCATATGCCTGCAATCCCAACACTTGGGAGATAGAGAGGAGAACCAGAAGTTCAAGGCCATCATTGTTTACACAGTGTGTTTGAGGCTTATCTGGGCTACACAAGACCTTGTCTCAATAAATAAGTATGGGGTTAGAGAGGTAGCTCAGAGATTAAAAGCACTTGCTACACAACCATGAAGACTAGAGTTCAAATCTGAGCACTTATATAACAGCTCAGACATCCCATGCATACCTGTAACTCCAACTCCAAGAGGAGGAGACAGTGCACCCTACATGTGCATATGCATTTATACATACATACATACATACATACATACATACATACATACATACACACACAAATATAAAAAGCTAGACATGATGGTCCATGCCTTTAACTACAGAACTCAGAAGGCAAACAGATCTCTGTGAGTTTGAGGCCAACCTGGGCTACACAATGAGACCCAATCTAATTGGTGAGTTCTGGGTCAGAGAGACCCTGTTTCAAAAACAAGGTAGCCCATGACTGAGGAGCTAACTACACCTGAGGGATGTCAGAGAAGGAACTCAAGGCAGGAACCTGGGCGTGGGAACTGAAGCAGAAGCCAGGGAAGAGTGCTACTTACTGGCTTGCTCCCCTATGGCTTGCTTGGCTTCTTTTTAAATACAACCAGAACCACCTGACCAAGGATGGCACTGCATCTCATTCCCCCACCCAAACCCCCATGGGCTGGGCCAACCAACACCAATCACTAATCAAGAAAATGCTCCACATACTTTCCTACAGGCATTTGAGGTTCCTCTTTCCAGATAACTCTAGCTTGTGCCATGTTGACAGAAATCTAGACAGCACAGAGACTCCTGGCTTACATATACACACACATGTATACCCACATACACACACATGAACATGTACACACATATAAACAGAACAAATAAATATCCTTCTCTGGATTACTGGACTATTTTAGAAAAATAACTACTGATAACTAACTATAAAGGCATATTGCCCATTCTCATGGTTGCAATAGTAGCACAGTTGTTATGGGAACAACCAAGTCCTTTCTGATTGGAACTAGGACCACTGTGTAAGGAAACATATTCATGGTACTGTAAATCTAGTCAAGAACCCATGGTTAGGAAAATCACAGGCTCCAGAGGAGAACCTATTATTAGTCTGAAAAATGGACATAGTTCCAAACTTTCTCTAAATTCATTTCTGTACCCATAGATTAATCCTCCCAGACTTCAGTAGAGAAATTTCTCTGTACAACAAAGACCAATCTCTCTTCCTAGCAGACCGGACATCCAGTCAACTTTTTAGGGCCTTATGCTAAATATAAATGAATCACCAAGGATTTGAAACAGTTCAAGGACAGTTCCAATGTGAAGCTAGAGGCTAAAACAGCTAAACAGAAAAGGAGGGTGTGGAGAAAGATAGAATGCAGCAGCAAAACCTGTAAACACAGTCACTATCCTTCTAATCCAATTAGCATACTCAGAGAAGTAAGAGAAAACGCTGTGTTCATAAAGTGTGAGGCACTTTCATAAAGACACAACACTGTGAAATTTCAGAATAATAGAACTAAGTAACAAACCTTAACACAATTCTACAGGGGGAAAGGAGTAAAAGCTTTCACACAAAAGATCAAGAATAAGATCGACATTGAACTTTTAAAAACATATCAGGCTGGGCTTTTGTGAACATCTTTTTTTTTTTTTTTCTTTTTTGGTTTTTCGAGACAGGGTTTCTCTTGTGTAGCTTTGCGCCTTTCCTGGAACTCACTTGGTAGCCCAGGCTGGCCTCGAACTCACAGAGATCAGCCTGCCTCTGCCTCCCGAGTGCTGGGATTAAAGGCGTGCGCCACCACCGTCCGGCCGGTGGTGAACATCTTTAATCCCAGCACTCGGGAGGCAGAGGCAGGTGGATCTCTGTGAGTTTGAGGCCAGCCTGGTCTACAAACTGAGTTCCAGGTCAGCCAAGACGGTTACAGAGAAACTCTGTCTCAACGCTCCCCCCCCCACCGCCAAAAAAATCAGTAAAGATGAAAGATGATGGATACATGCCTTAAAATTCATAGTGAC